TTAAAAGAAAAAAAAAATCCACAAGGTAAAGCATCCCTATCTAAATAGCCGTTTGACTGATAAATAGATAACGTGAGATTTCCTAAATTAAGATTTATTTTCTAAATGATTAATGATTATTATCATTACGAGTAAATATCATATTATTTCTTGCATTGTTAGTGCGTTTAATATTTACAAATTGTGTTCAATTTTGAAAAAGGAACAATAATCAATCCCATCAGTTCTTTTAACTTCATGATTACTATTGTTCTTCATTTTTTTAAACTAAACAAGTTTAGCTTCAAAGGTACAACATCTTTTTTTGATAGTAAAAGGTTTTAAGAAAAACAAAGGATTATTTTCATTTATATTGTCCAAAAAATTTTTTTTCCTTTAAAGTAAAAATCCAAAGTACACGTGTTTATGTTCCATCACTAAAATAGGTGTGATAATTTGCATTGTGATGGGGGTTTAGGAACTTTTTTAAAAAACAATAACATTACAAGTGTTCTTTGTTTTAAAAATAAAATTAGGTTTTCATTCAAAAAAAAACCTCAGCCATAATAGTTATATAAACTGCGGTTCAATAAAAAAAACTAGTAACTAAACAAGTTATTAGACAAGGATTGAAAATTCCTCGATTGTGTTAATTACATGTATTGAGGGCCAGCAACTCCGACCTTATTAACGTTGTGGCTGATACACTCCCCTTATTATGGAAATTTTGCCCATTATTCCCTTTTGAAAAAAAAAAATGAAAAATAAGAATGCACAATGATTCTTTTGGACGTATGATCGTCTTGAATTTTTCATCATGTGAACATATACACAAGGCATAAACACATGAAATTTCAACCACTTTGAATTGAAAATTGGAATTTCGCAACAAAAAAAAAAAAAAAGAACAAAGGATTTGAATCATCGTTTGCATCATTTGGAAAAAAACTGGATTGGTTTATATTACCCAATGAAAATAAAAAGGTGCGCGGTCTGGTCGGCCGTTATGCATATCAGCGATTCCCGAAAATTTTTCTTCTTTTGATTAAATTGGAAAATCATGATGTAATTGTGAATCTATGATGACACAAAATCGGATTTGCCATATGTGCCATTGTTCTTTCCACTCATGTTCACCGGACGTGAAGAAGTTACAAAGATGGCTTTGGAATTCAGTTTTTCACTCATCAGACATTCACGCTTTTGATCATTCATACGGAATTACGAGGACCTTTGCGAAAGGATCTAAGATGAGTCAAAAAGTTCCATGGTCAAATTTGGTGATCTTTCAAATTGCCTGATATCCCAGAAAGGGGTAACGAAATCCGATTATGGTGTGTTCTTTGGATTCCCTTCGAAACCTGATGAATTTTGTATCTTCCTTTCACATGTCACCTGTTTTTGGTATATTAAAATTAACAGGAAAATCATTATGTAATCGCTGCGGTAATCACCGTCTTTTGCTGTGCTTTCTTCCCGTTAGTTGTTTTATTTGTGACACAAGAAATGGTTTTTTTTTCACGCCCAACTCGATGCAATATTATTTGTTATTTATTGTTATTGTTGGATGTCTAATTCGATTTTGATGTTTGGCGGCATTTCTTTCCCGCTTTTTATCATTCCCAAAAATGAAAAATTTTTTTTGTTTACAATTTTGATCTGATTATTTTTTAAATTGTGTAATCTGCGCCTAAATATTAAGGTTAATGAGAATGAGTAAAAACTTCTAGAATTTGAACTGTTTGGCGGAAATTTAACTAGGGCATACATATATAAGCGGCGCAGTTGGCTGAAAATACTGGCTTCGGACGTTACCGTGAATGGTAAATCATCCTCAATAACATTCGTAAGGAACTTTAACTGTTTGAGAAAAAATTACTGTCAAAAGGTGGGTTGAGTCACTCTTACAAAATTAATTGTATCAAATTTTTTAATTTTTTTTATTTATTTATTTTATTTTATGGAAAATTTTTTTTTAATTTATTAAGGAAACAAACACTCATTAACGCAAAAAATATACCAAATTAACTAAGAAAAAAATTTTATATATATAAAAAAATCTGTACATTTTTTTTTTTCTTTTTTTTTAAAAAGGGGGGTTTTGTATGTACTATATAATTGAAAAAAAAATATAAAAAAAAATAAACAAGAAGAAAAATATATTGAAAAAGAAATTTACATGTCTATTCCGAAGTAAAAAAATGCATGAGATGTAAGAAATGTTATTTATTCACAGGGGAAAGAAATTGAAATTGAAATTGAAGTTGAAATAATAATAAAAATAAAAATAATAAAAATAATAATACTAAACTAAAGGAAGAAAAGATGAATTATTCCCAGTATGTTATTAAATCGATTTTTTTTTTTAAAAAAAAAAAAATCTGTTTTAATGTTGATAGTTCTTATAGCGTATATATTTTATCTGTAAATATAATTAAAGGGTATAGAAAGAGGGCATTATAAATTTTTTTTTTTTTCAG